GCACAGTTGGTAGACATGTGTAATTCCTTTTTCTGCCCATTTATGATGTGGAAATAGGCCATTGCATTGGTACAGGGTCCGAATTGGAGTTGCCAGGGCCCACGGGTGTGCGGAGCACAGTTGGTCCCTGTAGGTGTCCCATATTGTGAGGAGGTGTTTGGTGGTGTTCAGCATGGTTGTAGGTTGCTGTCGCAGGTGCCGGGGTATCCAGAGCATTGTAGGCAGGTCCTGGTTCTTACTGTGCATATTCTCTACCTCTACCCATTGGGGGATGTACTTGGCCGAGTGAACACTAACTACATTCGCAAGGATGGCTGAGTGATAATACGCTTTGAGATTAGGGAGGCCCATGCCTCCATGTTTCGTATTTCTCAACAGAAGTGATTTGGGGACTCGAGGGTGTTTGCCGTCCCAGCTGAATCTGAGGAGGGTAGCCTGTAATTTTGTGAGGTAGCTTTGTGGGATCTTGATTTGTAGTGTCCGGAAGAGGTAGAGAATTTTAGGTAGAATTGTCATTTTCAGTGCTGCTATTCTTCCGACCCACGATAGGTACAGGCCCCTCCACGTTTGCAGCTGGGTGTCTATATCTTTGTGCAGCTTTACGTAGTTGGTAGGGAATAGTTCTTTTTCTCTGTGAGTTATCTTGATCCCTAGGTACACCAAGTAGTCTTCTCTCCAATCAAAGCAATGGCCGGATCTCAGGAGTGTTTCTATGTGTTTTAGTGTGTTGAGGCACATTGCCTGTGTCTTAGCCACGTTGAGCTTGTAATAAGATTGTTGACTGTATGCATGTATTTCTTTGTGTAGGGAGGGGAGTGTTATGAGTGGTTGTGTGAGTGTGAGAAGAATGTCATCGGCAAATAGGCTTAGTTTATATTCTGTTTGGCCCACTAGTACCCCTCGGATGGAATCGTTGGATCGAATTGCTATTGCCAGGGGTTCTAAGGCTAACACATAAAGGAGAGGGGACAGTGGGCAACCTTGTCTGGTTCCGTTGGTAATGGGGAAGGCCTGTGAACTAAATCCTGAGGTGAGTACCGTCGCCCTGGGATCACTGTATAGGGCACTGACTGCAGAGAGGAAGGGTGCTGGGAATCCATAGGCTTGTAGGGTTTCCTGGAGGAATTGCCAGTTCAGGCGATCGAACGCCTTCTCGGCATCTAGGGATAGCATGACGCTCGTTTGTTTGGTGTTTTTCAATATGTTGTATATGTCTAGTACTTTCCTGGTGTTATCCGACCCTTGCCTTCCTGCTACAAATCCCACCTGGTCTGTATGAATTAGTGTTGGTAGTATGGACTTGAGTCGTTCTGCGTAGATTTTGGCATATAGCTTTGCGTCTGCATTCAGGAGAGAGATTGGCCTGAAGTTTTGGCATGTGGTCGCGGGTTTCCCCGGTTTGGGGATAGTGATAACATGTGCCGCTAAGAACTCGGTGGGGAAGGTACCCAGTCGGGTGGCTTCATTGAAGAAGCGTGTGAGGTCTGGGGCAATTTCTGCCTTGAAGGCCATGTAATAAGCGTTAGTGTAGCCGTCCGGGCCTGGGGCTTTATTTTTCGGCATTTTGTCTATCAGGGTGAGCACTTCGTCTGTGGTGATTGGTGCTGATAGTTGTGCTGCGTGCTGTTCAAGGAGTTTGGGGAGGGCAATCTGTGCCAGGTAGTTGCGAATTGATGTGGATGTAGGTTGGGCCAGGGAGTGCTGATCTTTCAGGTTGTATAGGGTGGTGTAATAATGTGCGAACTCATTGCAGATTTGTGCGGGTTGTATTATCTTAGTCCCGGTGTGTGAGTTTATGAATGGGATGCGGGCTTGTGCCTGCTTCATCCGGAGTCGCTGTGCCAATACTTTCGTTGCTTTGTTTCCCATTGAGTAGGAAGTTGCTTTGAGTTTTTTTAATGCTATGTTGGCTTTCTTGAGAAGAATTGCTTTAACTTCGTCTTGCGCTGTTTGCAATTTCTGTTGGAGGGTCTTGGAGGGGTGCAGTTGGTTTTCTCTATGGAGGTCTTGGATCCGTTGGAGAAGGTTCAGCAATGCAGTATGTGTTGTTTTCTTGAGGTAGGACGCTCGGCTGAGTAATAGCCCTCTGATGACCGGCTTGTGCGCGAGCCACAGTGTGGCGGGGTTGATCTCGTCGTTGCCATTGGTTTGAAAGTATTGTTGTATTTCTTCTCGTATTTTGTTGGTAAAGTCTGCGTCACTTAGCAAGTGTTCGTTCAGCCTCCAGGGGCTGCGATGTTGGTATTGGTAGGAATCGGCTAGGGTGAGAGACACTGGGTTGTGGTCTGAGATTGTAGAGGCGTCTATCTCACAGGATTTGATCTGTTGTAGTTGTGAGCTGTGCATTAGGTAGCCGTCTATGCGGGAGTAAGTGTTGTGCACCTGTGAGTGATGGGTGTATTCCCTATCCATTGGGTGGAGGGTTCTCCAAGCGTCGTAAAGCCCATATGATGCTAGTGTTTTGTGCAGGGAGATGCAGTGTTTGCGTAGGGCCTTTTTCCTCTTGTGTGTGTGTGTGGCTGTGGAGTCTGCAACAGGGTCGAGGATATGGTTAAAGTCCCCACAGAGGACTAGGGTGCCCATCTGTACTTTCTCGATCTTATCTAGTAGCGTGGACATATATTGGGGTTGGTTCTCGTTTGGGAAGTAGGAGTTAACTATTGTGTATGTGTTGTTGTTTAGCGTACAGATGAGAATGATATACCTTCCTTGCGGATCTATCTGGATTGTTACTAGGTCAAAGGCCAAGGTGTGGCTCACCATGATCGACACTCCCCTGCTTTTAGATGGGGACGTGGCATGGTATTGGTAGGGAAAATGTTTAAGCCCAAGGATGGGTTTAGAGCCATGTTTGAAGTGGGTTTCTTGCAGGCATATGATGTCTGCTTGTGAAGTTCGGATCTCTTTGAGGAGATTGTATCTCTTATGGGGCGCGTTTAGGCCTCTCACATTATGGGTATATATTTTCATTGTCGTAATCAGTGGTAGGTCACTTGGGTTGGTGCAGAGATGTAGGTTCTGAGTTGGGGGGTCGGTGCTTTGTTTGTATCTCAGGAAGACCCTTTCGTATAATTTGTGAGGTCTAGGTTGGGTTGGGTGTCGGTACCAGGGGTGGGGGCTAACAGTAGGGGTAGGGTATTAATACCTGGGGGTGTATAGTTAAACAGTAAACTTTACAATAAAAAAATTGAATGTACAGAGGGTACTTTCGGGGGTATGTGGCGGTATGGCACTTCTCAAGCGGGGGTAGTGTAGTCGGGTCGAATCCAGCTGACAGCTAACTAGGGCCTATCTTGTGCAGGCCCCACCCGTGAATATGTTAGTTTAGCAAGTGTATGGGTGCGCTTGGTTCTCGCCCTGTCTTAGGTTGCCGCTGCAGGGGGGGGTTGTTGGGTGAACGCCCTGGTGCAGACATATAGGGTGGCGCATATGGCTTGAGTCGGAGTGGGCAACCCGGGGGGGTTTTGCTCATAGGGCCCTCTAATCTGCATGTCGTATCGGCATGGTGGTCTATCTGTCGGGGTGGGGGGCGGTACTTTGCTAACATTTTGGTGGTTTTGTCCCCGCCATTAGGGTTGCTGTGGGAGTAGTTGCGGCCTTTTTGAGTGTGTCTAGGCACGCTCTGGGTGCGTCGGACAGGTGCATGGAAACAGTAAAACATAATCAAACATATATACAGGTTGCAGTTGTTACATCGCTTCCTCCATCTGGCAAAGGTGGGCTATGAGAGATTGACACCACTTAATCTTACATGGTGGTCCAGCAAGCTGAATCGCATGTAGTCTAATACAATCATATACTCGGGAGGGCTCTCTAAGGAAATAGAGAGGGAGTAGGCGTTAGGGAGATTAACATTGGGGCGTCAGCAGGCCTCTAAAGCCTTTAATCGGTGCACGAAAGCCCATACATTATGGGCTACATACGTGGTCTCTAGGGGTCGTCTTAAGTCAAATGCCACGGGGAGGTTAAGTGTGGCTGATCCTGTGGATCATTAGTCTTGTCGCTTAGTTTGTATCTTACTCTGTTCCTGCAATATATAAGGAAAAACTTTTTTTTTTTTTTGTATATGTTTTACAGTAATTAGAGGTCGCCTGCAATTTGTCAACCCTTTTGGGATGTGGTTATTCTAGTCAGCAATTATTTTTAACATCAATCTATAGCTAAACATGTTTTAGGTTTTAAAGAAAGTAGAAAACACTTGCTATTCCAGGTATGGCTAGTGGTCATCGTCCCTGAAGGTAGTTCGCCATTGTCGCTGAGGGCGGCCGTCGATATTCTGTGTCTTGCGCGGGCCTGGTGTTTGTAGATTTGGGGCTATGTCCCATTTGTGCAGCAGCTCCAGGCCTTCTTTCGGTGAGGCGGCTATGAGTTGCTTCCCTCCTTTGGTGATGAGGAGTTTCGCTGGGTAGCCCCATCTGTAGGGAATGCGGTGGTGTCTTAGAGCCTCTGCTACTGGTTTGAAGGATCTTCTCCGCCGGAGTGTCTCCGCCGACAGGTCCGTAAAGAGGAGGATAGGTTTAAATTTATCAGGCAGGTCTTTCCTAGTTCTATGTGCACGGAGGATTTGGTCTTTTGTGTGGTAATAGTGGAGCCGCATGAGCACGTCTCGTGGCACGGTTGGTGGTAAGTGTTGCGGTCTCGGGATTCTGTGGATGCGGTCTAGTAAGAGCATGTCTGCGGGTATGTCCGGCAGGACCACGCGGAACAGTTCCATGGTGAAGGCCGTTAGGTCCTGGGCTTCCACATCTTCTGGGACCCCTCTGAGCCTGATATTGTTGCGGCGAGACCTGTCTTCTGCATCTGTGATTTTGGTTTCATGCAGAGACAGTTTCCTTTCGATATCCTCTAGTCTGTCTTCGATAGCTGCATGGGCTGTGGCATTTACTTCCATTTTTTCCTCTAGTTGGGAGGCTCGTGCGTCCAGGTCGGTGATCTCGTTATTAATTTTAGCCAGGGCCGATGTAAATGATGCCTGCATTTTCAGGACCGCTGCGTCTAACATCTTTTGTAGTAAATTCGGGGTCAGCGGGGTGTCCGCGCTTGCCTCGTGTGTGTCGGCAAAGTCCGCGTGGAGTTCAGCCTCGGCGCCATCTTGGGCCTGTATTTCAGCCTGCTTGAGGTGTGGAGTTCGGGCTGCAAAGAAGGCTGCCTTGTCCTTCGTGTCCACACATTTCTTTGCGCGGTGTTGGGACATCGTGACCCGGGTCGGGGAGTCGGGTGCGAGCCAGTAATAGTGGGTTTTAGCCGCGTTTAGGAGCCCTTAGCTGCGGAGCTCTTTCAGTGTGCTGCCAGCTTCATTCAGCGTCCGGCCACGCCCCCTCATAGCTGTATTTTTAACTAGAGTGTAGTATATATTCTTTGTAATTGGGGAAAATAAAAGTTTTATATTTAATATTCGCATGTCTGATATTCTCTTTTGCCCAGGTACTTCTGATTTATTTACTTAATATTCTACATTTGTCATGACCTGTTTCTAGTTGCATAGTAAAGCTGACTCGTGTAGATTTGATTTAAAAAAAAAAATATATATATATATATAAATATATATAAATAATATGTATTCCCACCATGTTTTAAAAGTGCAATATGTGACTTGCCAAGATCAGAAATTAATAGTTGCCATTAAATGTCACAAACTGAATCATTACTGTCTAGATGGGTTGAAATGTTTTGTTTTTTTTAAGTTATCAGTTTAAGGACATGATGTCCAAGATTATTTGATCGTGTTTAAAGTTTAAACTCCAGTTTAGTTGTATTCAAGTAGTATGCTATTAAAATGTGTGTTGCACTTGCACATGTATGGACCTATCTGTTTGCCCCTACTGTGTTGGTTGCTGAGGCTGTACTGCCTTGTAATGCCTGCATGAGAAAGAGAATAATCACTTGTTGGTTCTCCTCATGTGGCCCAGCAGCGCAGTGGCAGAGACTCTAAAAAGCTTGAATCCGCTTCACCAATCGATGGAGAGCAGGTGAGGCTATATGATATCACATCATAACCCAGCCTACCAAGAGGTCTGAACCCACCGCTTGTTAACTGCAGCATACTGAGGGAGTAGTACAAGGGAGTACCTGCTTCCCCAATCACAAGACACCAGAGAATGCAGTACCTCCGCTCCTAGCACCATTAGTGCCCTAAAGGAAAAAGGTAACTGTGTGTGTGTGTGTGAGTGTGTGTGTGTGTGTGTTTGTGACTGTCTACCTGTCTGTGTGTGAATGTGCCCTGTGTATGTGTGAATGTCAGTAAGCGTGTGTGTGACTGCCTGTACCTGTGTGTGTCTATGTGACTGCCTGTAACTCTATGCTTGTGTTAAAGAAGCCTTTCATTATTATCATTATTATCATTATTATTATTTATAAAGTGCCAACAAGTTCCGCAGACACTGTACAACATCTGTTGTTCTTCTTTGCCAATGGTTCTGGATGACAGGTTAAAAATTGGTATTTCCAATTACCCCAGGTATCAAATTACCCCGGTAGGTTCTGACCCACTGCCCACTTCTTGTGACGCACATCCTTGTTTTGCCTCTTGTCTGGTTCTGTACCTTGTAATGGTTCTTTGTTGGGGTCTTGATCTGCTTCTAAAATAGTGACCCGTGCAGGTGATTTAGGTGTAGGAGCTGTGTGTGAAGAATCAGACTATGTGGTTTCGATCTATTTGTCTGGGTTTTCAGGCATTCTGCCATTTGATTTTAACCCAGCACATCACTTTGGCTTTTGTATATAAGCATTTTACCATCACTCGCTATGACAATCAATTAGAATACAATCTGCTGGGGAAGCTATCCCAAGCAGTGTGAGCATGCCCTAGGCTTTGGGTTTGTTTCATGCCACATTACAGAGTTTGTACAATACACGAGGAGTACTTTGCTTTCTTTAAAGCTATATAAACACTGTGTGTACATTTAATCTTCTGTCCTGATAAAAGTTTTTTGCCAAAACTGAAACGTTGATATTTTTATTTTCAGTTAAATAAAAGCTAAGTTTTATTTTTTTATCTTGGTCTGTCCAAGTCCTTGGAGTGTTATCATTTTTGCTCAAATATACTATTTGTAGACCAGCACCAGGCATCAAAAGATTTTATACCCTGGAGTGCAGGTTAGTGATGTCGCGAACCGTTCGCGAACTTGCTGTGAATGGTTCGCCACGAACCATTGGTGGCGAACTCCGGTCAGCTGACACATCCCTGCCAATCTCCGGCAGACCCTCCCATACAGACCCTCCTACTTCCTGGACAGCATCCATGTGGAAGGCAGCTTCAACATGGATGCTAGCAAATATGTATAGTTTAAAAAACATATATCACCGGGGGCGCCACAATCACAAACATGTGAATATATTTACCATGGTATGTTCATGGGTATGCATATAAGGAGATAAAAATAAAAGTATATATAGTGAA